TACGATAAGCTGGGATGAGATTAAAAAGGGGTTAGCGCTAGCCAGGGCAGCTTTTGAGCCTCGTTGAGTTCGCTTTTTTTTCTCGCGCATGGATGCGACGTGGCCTAGCGATTTCTTCAGAGCGCGATTCAGGCAGCCTATTAGCACTTTTGCCGGGCTAAAGCGGCGACATCTCGCCTTGCGCCGCCAAAGTCGCCGCCGCCAGAGGCGTTTAGTCCCTCGCCCATGTAGGTCCGCCCGCATAATTACGAGGTCGAGTGGCGCTGTTTGTTGAGCTCCGTTGTGTTTTATAAACGAAAATGCATGGCAAGATGTGGGCGCTTGTTTGGCGAAGATAATGCGGTCACTGATGGCGCGATGTGGGTGGATAGTTTGTGGTGCATTGGAAGAAGAGACGAAACATCGAGTTGCAATCAGGAAGAGCAACTTGCAGTCGAGGAGGGACCCGTAACGGGGAAGTAACGGCGGGCCGAGCAGCAGCAGCAGTGTTTTCCTCGTCAGAGCCATCGTCGGCGCCGCTTGCCTCCTCGGCCGATGCTGCTGCCGATGTGTCTCTTCTTTGTTGAAGCGGGGTTTGATTTGAGGGAAGGGCAGCGAATGATGTGGAGAAGTTCTTATTGCGCGGTTCTTCGCCTTGCAACGAAAGTCGATTTTCTTTTAGCAATTTTTTTTTCAGGGTGGACGATGGCGAGGAATCAGAGTGCGAAGCGGTGCCCTTGCCAATTCAGACATTTCTATGGCGTCAAACGAAGTAATCTATCTTCTTACTTTGGAGTTCTTTTTTGCACTTTCAAAGCTGCCGTCACATCGATGGCTTTTCAACGACGATTTGCACTTTTCTGCTTGCATAATTTACTGTTTTTCTAATCTTGTAAATGTAATCATGTCCTGTGACTACGTTATAATCTCAGCCGAGATTCCTGGAACTAATTTAATGACCTCTTCTTATCCTCATTCATGACCAAGCGTCCCACCCGTCTGCTGACACGTAGTCGTGACAAATATGGCCTAATGGGCTTGTTGATCATGGACGTGTATCTGCGTTTCCAAATGAAGGATTTCCGGTTTTTGCAGCGAGCAGGTGCTTTGCGTGGAAAAACGGACGGTTTAGCTGTATAAAGACTATTTGTTGAAAGCGAAGGTAACAACGGTGTTCCTAATGAATCGTTCTGGGGTGCGCCATGCGCTTAACACTCAGTTGAAAAGGTGACGGCGTTCAATTGGAGAATTGGCCATTGCTGAGGTGCAATAGCCAGTCACTCTCCACCTCCACTGCAGCTGAATCACCAGTGTTCAAAAAGTTGAGCTGAACGGAATATACCCGTAACACTCCGTAGCACGACCACGGTAGAAGATGCCCTGGACAGAGCAAAGTGGCGACTACTGACAAAGGCAGGGGTCCGCGATGCTCGGGGCTCACATTAGGGGGAAGAAGAAGAAGTCGAACGAGTATTCAGAAGAAGGAATTACGAGTACAACATGTAGACCAGTTCCGGTCACAGTACCATACATTTAAATTGCCCAGTGGTTATTCAAACAGCACTGTGGTTTTATGGAATTCAATTCTTGTGTATGTTGGAAATGCTTCATACAATGTAGGTGGTGCGGAATTCTTCACCCATTTACTTATTCATAGTTCATTTCACGTGGGAGAGGGGGGCTTCCATGAAATCAAATCACCAAATGGTAAAATAAAGTCACCGCGACAGAGCGGCAGATAGTGAATAGTCAAACCATTGAGAACCTATGATTCTGTTTTCTGTCCACTTCTGTCTCATGCACAGTAGGTAGAATCATTGACGGAACCAACCCAGGCAGAATTGAAGAAGAGGAAACAGTGTGTAGGGGCAGGGCAAGATAACCCTGGGGAAACTGGGCCCAAAGAGAAGCCCTAATCAGCGTCTTTCTACTTTCGTGATGCGATCTTTATCGCTTTCCGTTTTTCATTTAAGAACTTTAATTTTGTTGTTGATATATTTCATCAATGGCAATGCCAGCTCTTCAAAACTCTGGTCCAAGTATTCATTCTTGATCATTTCAGCCCATTCCTCGGCGCCAAGGTCGGAAAACTTCACGAAGCATCATGTGTGGTGAGTGGTGTTTCGCTTCGTTTCTACTGTTGGAATTCCATTTAT